TGAGCTCCACCAGGTGATGATCTCACCTATACCCAGACAGGAAGTCTCTATGGAAAAAAGCAGGAAGTGATGTCACATACAAAGAGGAAGTCCCGGGTGAGAGGCAAGGCGGGAGGAAGTAGAGAGGAGACATTGTTGGAACTGGCAGCAGAGGAGGTAAGAAGATATTTTGTATTTACATCCATCCCCCCCCCACTAAGATTGCTTTGGTCCCCCCAAAGTCACCGTGACATCTTTTATCTCCTACACACATATATAGTATGACAACGATCAGATTTCCCCCTTTGATCACATTAGTCTGGAGTAACGCAGGTGAAAGGTGTACAAGATGGGGGACCCCCAAAGTGTCCATCACCCAACATGTGGAGTCATCGGCCGGCCGATCTTATACCGGCGTCCTTGCCCACCGATCCCGTGATTAATACACACACATTCGTCACCTTACTTACTCAACTATTCAGGCCGTGCCCCTTCCTATTCCGGGACTGAGACCTAGGCAAGGTAGGTCCACCTATATCGGAGAAATGTCTCCAATCAAGGTAGGTCCACCTATAGATCGGAGAAATGTCTCCAATCAAGGTAGGTCCACCTATAGATCGGAGAAATGTCTCCAACCAAGGTAGGTCCACCTATAGATCGGAGAAATGTCTCCAACCAAGGTAGGTCCACCTATAGATCGGAGAAATGTCTCCAACCAAGGTAGGTCCACCTATAGATCGGAGAAATGTCTCCAACCAAGGTAGGTCCACCTATAGATCGGAGAAATGTCTCCAACCAAGGTAGGTCCACCTATAGATCGGAGAAATGTCTCCAACCAAGGTAGGTCCACCTATAGATCGGAGAAATGTCTCCAACCAAGGTAGGTCCACCTATAGATCGGAGAAATGTCTCCAACCAAGGTAGGTCCACCTATAGATCGGAGAAATGTCTCCAACCAAGGTAGGTCCACCTATAGATCAGAGAAATGTCTCCAACCAAGGGAGGTCCACCTATAGATCGGAGAAATGTCTCCAACCAAGGTAGGTCCACCTATAGATCGGAGAAATGTCTCCAACCAAGGAAGGTCCACCTATAGATCGGAGAAATGTCTCCAACCAAGGTAGGTCCACCTATAGATCGGAGAAATGTCTCCAACCAAGGAAGGTCCACCTATAGATCGGAGAAATGTCTCCAACCAAGGTAGGTCCACCTATAGATCGGAGAAATGTCTCCAACCAAGGAAGGTCCACCTATAGATCGGAGAAATGTCTCCAACCAAGGTAGGTCCACCTATAGATCGGAGAAATGTCTCCAACCAAGGAAGGTCCACCTATAGATCGGAGAAATGTCTCCAACCAAGGTAGGTCCACCTATAGATCGGAGAAATGTCTCCAACCAAGGTAGGTCCACCTATAGATCGGAGAAATGTCTCCAACCAAGGTAGGTCCACCTATAGATCGGAGAAATGTCTCCAACCAAGGTAGGTCCACCTATAGATCGGAGAAATGTCTCCAACCAAGGTAGGTCCACCTATAGATCGGAGAAATGTCTCCAACCAAGGTAGGTCCACCTATAGATCGGAGAAATGTCTCCAACCAAGGTAGGTCCACCTATAGATCGGAGAAATGTCTCCAACCAAGGTAGGTCCACCTATAGATCGGAGAAATGTCTCCAACCAAGGTAGGTCCACCTATAGATCGGAGAAATGTCTCCAACCAAGGTAGGTCCACCTATAGATCGGAGAAATGTCTCCAACCAAGGTAGGTCCACCTATAGATCGGAGAAATGTCTCCAACCAAGGTAGGTCCACCTATAGATCGGAGAAATGTCTCCAACCAAGGTAGGTCCACCTATAGATCGGAGAAATGTCTCCAACCAAGGTAGGTCCACCTATAGATCGGAGAAATGTCTCCAACCAAGGTAGGTCCACCTATAGATCGGAGAAATGTCTCCAACCAAGGTAGGTCCACCTATAGATCGGAGAAATGTCTCCAACCAAGGTAGGTCCACCTATAGATCGGAGAAATGTCTCCAACCAAGGTAGGTCCACCTATAGATCGGAGAAATGTCTCCAACCAAGGTAGGTCCACCTATAGATCGGAGAAATGTCTCCAACCAAGGAAGGTCCACCTATAGATCAGAGAAATGTCTCCAACCAAGGTAGGTCCACCTATAGATCGGAGAAATGTCTCCAACCAAGCAAGGTCCACCTATAGATCGGAGAAATGTCTCCAACCAAGGTAGATCCACCTATAGATCAGAGAAATGTCTCCAACCAAGGTAGGTCCACCTATAGATCAGATAAATGTCTCCAACCAAGGGAGGTCCACCTATAGATCGGATAAATGTCTCCAACCAAGGTAGGTCCACCTATATCGGAGAAATGTCTCCAACCAAGGTAGGTCCACCTATAGATCGGAGAAATGTCTCCAACCTGGAGAAGGACAAGACAAAGCCTCTCAGCAATCACACCGAGCGGACACTCATAGTTACATAGTCAGGTTGAAAAAAGATACACGTCCATCGAGTTCAACCTATAAAGGCCTTCCATCCCCCCGGCTTTATTTCTGCTCACACCCGTAGATTAAACCAATAATTCACACTGTAGATCAGCACATGGCAGTAACGGGTCATAAACCCTCATCCAGAAGGTCATTCCCCTCATCTGACCGAGGTACCAGATCCACCCGGGAACAGAGGTGTGAGGAACCCTCATCTGACCGAGGTACCAGATCCTTCCGGGAACAGAGGTGTGAGGAACCCTCATCTGACCGAGGTACCAGATCCTTCCGGGAACAGAGGTGTGAGGAACCCCCATCTGACCGAGGTACCAGATCCCTCCGGGAACAGAGGTGTGAGGCACCCCCATCTGACCGAGGTACCAGATCCCTCCGGGAACAGAGGTGTGAGGAACCCCTCCGATCCGGGAGGACGAATAGAGGAACCACCAATCTGGGACATCAGATTCCTCATGGACACACCTGGCTTGGGTTTGGTTCATGAGGTAGAGACACCTACTGTCTGCCTCCTGACCTGGTGTCCCAAGCAAACCACTAACACCCGAGCTTGGAAACTTAAATAGTATTTCCACATTCCAGGGTGAATGTGAGAAAATGGAATTACCCCCAACAATCTACCCCCTACCTCTAACCCCCCGCTCGCGAATGGTGGTTTCCCTCCAGTTGGTACACCGTATTTCAACTAGTGAGCACTCGTTGGTCAGCACAATCATCTGACCAATGAGAAGGGCTTCTTAGCAAGTGTAAGGCTTAGATAGCAGCTCAGTCCTCCATTTATTTTGTTGAGTAGAAAAAAAAGTTGAAAATAGATCAAACCCCCCAATGATTGTATCGCATTAGCTATGACTTCATATCCATCCAACCATCAAACAGCATTACGTAGGTCCATGTTGCCTCGTACCCACCAGACGGGTTCTCTAAGATAAGACTTGTAGGTGGGTGTAGATGTTTTTGGCAATGTTCCTTCAGACGTGATGTCTCCTGAAAATTCCCTCATAACTCATCAACATGAAACCGCAAATGTGTCCTCACATAAGAACATTGCCAGGAATGGAGGTCCATCTTCGTATGGCTGACATTGATATGGTGTGTGGTCATGTGATTCAGCAGGAGTCATCAGTTCCCTTCCCGAGGAGCCGGGGTATCTAGAAGGACACCGGGATCTCTACAAGGACGTGGTGATGGAGAATGCCCCGCCCCTCACATCACCGGGTAAGAGGAGAGAGCAGTACGGAGGCTCCGCCTACATCCCCCATCATCTGATACACACATAGAAACAATGTATTCAGTCAGTGTGTGTGTTTCCTACAGATGGATCCAGTAAGAGGAACCCACCAGAGAGATGTCCCCGCCCCCTGTATTCCCGGGACCCCACCCAGGAAGATCTCACCATCCCCCACCATGAGAGATGTCCCCGCCCCCTGTATTCCCGGGACTCCACCCAGGAGGATCTCACCATCCCCCACCATGATCAGGTCGGTGATTATCACGGATGGTATTATTTGGGATGTGGACGTTATCTACATTGTTACCATTTGTTTTTATTTTCAGAGTGACTCTAAAGTTGTTGTTAAAGAAGAAATCAAAGAGGAGGAGGAGGAGTATGGAGTGATGGAGGAGTTCCCAAAAGGACACCAGGAGAACACGGAGGAGTCATCCAGCTCCAGGAACCCACCAGAGAGATGTCCCCGCCCCCTGTACTCCCGGGACTCCACCCAGGAAGATCTCACCCTCCCCCACCATGATCAGGTAGATGATGGACCATCACTTTTTGTTATGATGTATACAGAAGAATGTTTGTTACAATGAATGATTCTTATATATTTAGAGTGGAAGCCTCGGGGATTATGGTATTGACGTTAAAGAAGAGTATAAGGAGGAGGATGAGGAGTACGGGGTGATGACGGAACCTTCTGAAGGACACTCGGAAAGTGGAAACCTCCTGAAGAATAATATTGTAAAAGAAGAACACAAAGATGAGGCGTACGGGGTGATGGAGGAGCTTTCAGGAGGACACACGGGTATGATGGAGCCACCAGAGAGATGTCCCCGCCCTCTGTATTCCCGGGACTCCACCCAGGAAGATCTCACCATCCCCCACCATGATCAGGTAGATGATGATCAATCACCGATCGCATTATTACATTCTGTCCATTATCTACGTGGTTACAATTTATCACTTTTATCATTCAGAGTGGAAACCCAAGCAGATCTACAGTTGATGTTAAAGAAGAGATAAAAGAGGAGGAGGATGGAGGGATGGAGGAGTCGGAGTCTCGAAAAGGACACCAGGAGAACACGGAGGAGTCATCCATCTACAGGAACCCACCAGAGAGATGTCCCCGTCCTCTGTATTCCCGGGACTCCACCCAGGAAGATCTCACCCTCCCCCACCATGAGAGATGTCCCCGTCCTCTATATTCCCGGGACCCCACCCAGGAAGATCTCACCATCCCCCTCCATGATCAGGTGGGTGGAGTTGAGGGGCGTGAAGATAAAGTGATGGAACGCTATGACGTGTGGACTCTACAAGATGAGATCTTCTATGTGATGTCACATCATTAGAGCGTATTTCCCATTAACGTCTTCCAGCATTCCGAGAGGTGGAGCCTCCTCCCCAAACCACAGGAAACACGTCACCCAATTAGCCTTTAAAAGGCCCGCCTCTTCTCCGGTCCTCGGTCAAATTGGGGAGCGCGTCACTGGAACGCTAGGGAAGCCTCCATTTTTGGGTTAGCAAAGCTGCCACATGGCCGAGCTTCTTCGTCCGACATTATCGCGTGGATCTCAATTCTACGGGGATCAGGCCTTAGGTGGAACGGTGCTTCAAGCTGTGGTCCCGCCCTAGATACAGATAAGTTCGTGGTTGTCCTCTCGGAGGCCAGCCCCGGAAGACGTTAATGGGAAATCCAGAGTTGGACTTTACCGGTAACTCTACTGCCAGTCGTCTTCCAGGACAGCAGCTGCCCACCCGGTGACGCTCATGATGTTTTTTTTGCCCCAGTTTTTCCTTCGGTTCTCCTGATGACTGAGGGACTGGAGAAGGGGCGGGGCTTTTAAGGCTAGTGGGTGACGTGTTTGGGGAGGAGATTCCATCTCTCGTCATGCTGTCCTGGAAGACACCGAAACCAGTAAGTTGGAAGTCTGGATTTTTTTTACAGTTTTTGTTTTCTGGGTTTAGGTGGAAGATCTGACGGATATCAAAGTTGAGGTGAAAGAAGAAGTAGAAGAGACGTATGTGAGGGATGATCAGCGATATACGGAGGAGGCCGGGATGATGAGGACGTCCATAGAGGAGGACACGCCTACAGAGATCGGCACAGGTGGGTCATATGCAGGACATCTCTGGAAGACATTCCCATGTCCTGAGTCCCATCCCTATAGAGACCCGGCAACAGAGAAATATCCGGTAGATGGTTCCTCCTGGCCTCCAACCAGATGACTCCTACATGATGTTGGTCCTCCAGACATGGACTCTGCTGCTCAGTCCAGTTCTGAGACCAACTGAGCCGAGGACAATAGATTACCTCTTCAAGAAACACAACTTGATAGGCCTACAAACACTCCTCTGAGCCACTTCCCCCCAACGCCTGGTCAGGTGACGCTCACCCATAGTGTCATAGAAAGTCATGTGATCCTCCGGACTACATGACCCATCATTCATAGCGCCATCGCCCATGTGAGCCACTACCAGTCACTCCCCATGGAGGGGGGGCAGAGAAGTGTCTTCTGTATCTAGTGTTCTCGGGCTGCCTGTGCATGTTGGTGCCGGGGGCGTCATCACGTCGGGTTGTAGTCCCCTCCTGAGAGTGCGTGTGAAGGGGTGGCAATGGCGGGGCCACATAGAGCCATGAAAGCCAAGGAGCCACCCGGGAAGTAGAGTCAGCGATCAGGGAAACGGGTGACACGGGACTGAGGAGCTCCGGCCTGGTGATGGTCACTTCCTTGGTACAGGGGACAGTTACTAATGAAGACCTAATGTGCAGGACGAGAAACCCTGTTCGAGAGAGATACGGGGGGCCGCCATGGCTGGACCTCTTGCTGGTAATAGCAGTCGTCAGGCCGAGTCCCTGGCTGGAGGACTTTGAGTCCCAACACCTTGAACAAGCCTGTAAAGTTTGGAGGGGGAGGGGTAAGTAGGGATTTTGAAGTGCTTTGTAACCAATAACAGGACGTGACGGGGAATGAGGAATCAAAGAGCCAACGATGGTCTTCAGGATCAGTCCAGCCTTCATCTTGGTTGGGTTCCCCCATCCTCACTCTCGGACCTCTGGTGCGGCTCAGCTCCACTCTTATTACTAAATGACTGATGGGGGAAATAAGGAAGTGTAGGACATCCTATGGTGGGAAGATGGCAGACTAAGGTGGGTGAATGTAGAAGTCATCTGGTCTGAGGTCAGGAGGAACCATCTACCAGATCTGATCCTCATCAACAAAGCTGACTGATGTGGGCGGAGTCCTGGGTGAGGTGAAGCAACCAATAATCTCTTTCCTTCTATTTGTAGTCCATGGACGGCACGTCGGGAAGATCTCAGAGGAACGTCTCACGTTGTCTCCAGAAGATGAGGACATCACACAGTATAGTCCAGGAGAAGACCATAATGTCCATCAGTTGCCCCGCAGTGTGGATGGACCATCATATTCCTCTAATCCTGAGGACTCTCAGACTGGGAGGGGCGGGGCCATCCTCCCAACAGATAAGAGGTTTCCCTGTGCTGAGTGCGGGAAACATTTTCATTCTAAATCCTATCTCACTGTACACAAAAGATCTCACACGGGGGAGAAGCCGTATTCATGTCCTGAGTGCGGGAAAAGTTTTGTACGTAAATCGGTTCTCATTGAACATCAGAGGTCTCACACGGGGGAGAAACCATATGCCTGTCCTGTGTGTGGGAAAGGTTTTTCACGTAAGGCAGTTCTCACGGAACACCAACGATCTCACACGGGCGAGAAGCCGTATTCCTGCTCAGAGTGCGGGAAATGTTTCTCACAGAAGTCCTATCTTTCCATACACCAGAGATCTCACACAGGGGAGAAGCCGTATTCCTGCACTGAGTGCGGGAAAAGCTTTATACAGCGACAACACCTTGCTACACATAAAAGGGCTCACAAAAGGGAGAAGCCACATTCCTGCCCCGAGTGCGGGAAAGGTTTTCTTGGTCGACAACAGCTCATTATACATCAAAGGACTCACACAGGGGAGAAACCATATGCCTGTTCAGAGTGTGGGAAATGTTTCCCTTTGAAATTATCGCTCATCAAACATCAGAGATATCACACAGGAGAGAGGCCATATTCTTGCCCTGAGTGCAGGAAATGTTATGTCACAAAATCATTATTAAATTTACATCAGAAATCTCACAGGGGCGAGAAGCCGTATTCCTGCTTGGAGTGTGGGAAAAGTTTCTCGCAGAAGTCCTATCTTCACATTCATCAGAGATATCATACAGGAGAAAAACCGTATGCATGCACTGTGTGTGGGAAAAGTTTTGCTCATAAACAACGTCTTACCATACATCAGACATGTCACACAGGGGAGAAGCCATATTCCTGTATTGAATGCGGGAAATGTTTTGCCACAAATTCAGTTTTATACGTGCATAAAAAATCTCACATGGAGAAAAAGACATATCCCTGCTTGAAGTGCGGGAAGTGTTTTTCCAAGAATTCCCACCTTTCCAGACATCAGAGATCTCACACAGGGGAGAAGCCTTATTTTTGCCCTGAGTGCGGGAAACGTTTTGTACATGGAGAACAGCTGGCTGAACATCAAAGGTCTCACACAGGGGAGAAGCCGTATTCTTGCCCAGAATGCGGGAAATGTTTTATACGTCGACAACATCTTACTAGGCATCAGATATCTCACACAGGGGAGAAGCCGTATGCTTGCAATAAGTGCGAGAAATGTTTCTCACGGAAACCACAGCTTGTTGTACATGAAAGATCTCACACAGGGGAAAAGCCGTATTCCTGCCCTGAGTGTGGAAAAGGTTATCCACAGAAATCAGAGCTGGTTATACATCAAAGATTTCACACAGGAGAGAGGCCGTATTTGTGCGAAGAGTGTGGGAAAAGTTTTTCAGTGGTGGGTCATCTGCACACTCATCGGAGGACTCACACGGGTGAGAAACCGTATTCCTGCCCTGAGTGTGGGAAACGCTTTTCACAGAAGTCCCACCTTACCAAACATCAGACATGTCACATAAACCTCGAGGTGTATTAGTGCCCTGAGTGCGGGAAACGTCTTCTATATGAATCATCAGAGATCTGACGCTGGGAAGACGCACACCTTCAAAATTGTGTTTTTATATGATGAACAATCAATCAATAAAATGTTAACAATCCCTCCAAATAGTCTTCCGTCTCTCTATACAGATAGAAAATCAAACATTGTCCTCAATGGCGGGTGCATGTAACGTATAGAGTGCAGGGGTCAGTGGTATGTAATGTATGGAGTGCAGGGGTCAGGAGTATAACGTATGGAGTGCAGAGGTCAGTGGTATGTAATGTATGGAGTGCCGGGGTCAGGAGTATAACGTATGGAGTGCAGAGGTCAGTGGTATGTAATGTATGGAGTGCAGGGGTCAGGAGTATAACGTATGGAGTGCAGAGGTCAGTGGTATGTAATGTATGGAGTGCAGGGGTCAGGAGTATAACGTATGGAGTGCAGAGGTCAGTGGTATGTAATGTATGGAGTGCAGGGGTCAGGAGTATAACGTATGGAGTGCAGAGGTCAGTGGTATGTAATGTATGGAGTGCAGGGGTCAGGAGTATAACGTATGGAGTGCAGAGGTCAGTGGTATGTAATGTATGGAGTGCAGGGGTCAGGAGTATAACGTATGGAGTGCAGAGGTCAGTGGTATGTAATGTATGGAGTGCAGGGGTCAGGAGTATAACGTATGGAGTGCAGAGGTCAGTGGTATGTAATGTATGGAGTGCAGGGGTCAGGAGTATAACGTATGGAGTGCAGAGGTCAGTGGTATGTAATGTATGGAGTGCAGGGGTCAGGGGTATGACGTATGGAGTGCAGAGGTCAGTGGTATGTAATGTATGGAGTGCAGGGGTCAGTGGTATGTAATGTATGGAGTGCAGGGGTCAGTGGTATGTAATGTATGGAGTGCAGGGGTCAGTGGTATGTAATGTATGGAGTGCAGGGGTCAGTGGTATGTAATGTATGGAGTGCAGGGGTCAGTGGTATGTAATGTATGGAGTGCAGGGGTCAGTGGTATGTAATGTATGGAGTGCAGGGGTCAGTGGTATGTAATGTATGGAGTGCAGGGGTCAGTGGTATGTAATGTATGGAGTGCAGGGGTCAGTGGTATGTAATGTATGGAGTGCAGGGGTCAGTGGTATGTAATGTATGGAGTGCAGGGGTCAGTGGTATGTAATGTATGGAGTGCAGGGGTCAGTGGTATGTAATGTATGGAGTGCAGGGGTCAGTGGTATGTAATGTATGGAGTGCAGGGGTCAGTGGTATGTAATGTATGGAGTGCAGGGGTCAGTGGTATGTAATGTATGGAGTGCAGGGGTCAGTGGTATGTAATGTATGGAGTGCAGGGGTCAGTGGTATGTAATGTATGGAGTGCAGGGGTCAGTGGTATGTAATGTATGGAGTGCAGGGGTCAGTGGTATGTAATGTATGGAGTGCAGGGGTCAGTGGTATGTAATGTATGGAGTGCAGGGGTCAGTGGTATGTAATGTATGGAGTGCAGGGGTCAGTGGTATGTAATGTATGGAGTGCAGGGGTCAGTGGTATGTAATGTATGGAGTGCAGGGGTCAGTGGTATGTAATGTATGGAGTGCAGGGGTCAGTGGTATGTAATGTATGGAGTGCAGGGGTCAGTGGTATGTAATGTATGGAGTGCAGGGGTCAGTGGTATGTAATGTATAGAGTGCAGGGGTCAGTGGTATGTAATGTATAGAGTGCCGGGGTCAGTGGTATGTAATGTATGGAGTGCAGGGGTCAGTGGTATGTAATGTATGGAGTGCAGGGGTCAGTGGTATGTAATGTGTGGAGTGCAGGGGTATGTAACGTATGGAGTGCAGAGGTCAGTGGTATGTAATATATGGAGTGCAGGGGTCAGTGGTATGTAATGTATGGAGTGCCGGGGTCAGTGGTATATAATGTATGGAGTGCAGGGGTCAGTGGTATGTAATGTGTGGAGTGCAGAGGTCAGTGGTATGTACCGTATGGAGTGGAAGGGTCAGTGGTATGTAACGTATGGAGTGCAGGGGTCAGTGGTATCTAATGTTTGGAGTGCCGGGGTCAGTGGTATGTAATGTGTGGAGTGCCGAGGTCAGTGGTATGTAATGTGTGGAGTGCCGGGGTCAGTGGTATGTAACGTATGGAGTGCCTGGGTCAGTGGTATGTAACGTATGGAGTGCATGGGTCAGTGGTATGTAACGTATGGAGTGCCTGGGTCAGTGGTATGTAACGTATGGAGTGCATGGGTCAGTGGTATGTAACGTATGGAGTGCATGGGTCAGTGGTATGTAACGTATGGAGTGCAGGGGTCAGTGGTATCTAATGTATGGAGTGCAGGGATCAGTGGTATGTAACATATGGAGTGCATGGGTCAGTGGTATGTAATGTGTGGAGTGCAGAGGTCAGTGGTATGTAACGTATGGAGTGCATGGGTCAGTGGTATGTAACGTGTGGAGTGCAGAGGTCAGTGGTATGTAATGTATGGAGTGCAGAGGTCAGTGGTATGTAATGTATGGAGTGCAGGGGTCAGTGGTATGTAATGTATGGAGTGCAGAGGTCAGTGGTATGTAATGTATGGAGTGCAGGGGTCAGTGGTGTGTAATGTATGGAGTGCAGGGGTCAGTGGTATGTAATGTATGGAGTGCAGAGGTCAGTGGTATGTAATGTGTGGAGTGCCGGGGTCAGTGGTATGTAATGTGTGGAGTGCGGGGGTCAGTGGTATGTACTGTGTGAAGTGCAGAGGTCAGTGGTATGTAATGTGTGGAGTGCAGAGGTCAGTGGTATGTAACGTATGGAGTGCAGGGGTCAGTGGTATGTAATGTATGGAGTGCAGGGGTCAGTGGTATGTAATGTGTGGAGTGGAGGTCCGACGTTTAACTTCCCCCGCGAAATAGATCAAGGGCACTATCCAGCTACTCCTGGTGTGAATGGAGGAGGCCTCGGCCGCCCTCCGGCCAGACCAGTCCAGCACCAGAAAGGTTCCTACCTACAACTGAGGACAAACCTGGCTATGGGACCCGACCAGAATCAACCCCAGGCGGTATGGGAAACCCCTCCAGCCCCCAATCACATCAGGGAATACTAAGCACCTCTCCGTGCCGGATACTACACTTGATCTTAGCCAATAGGCCGAGAAGCCTTAAAGGACACCCACCTGAAGGTTACGCGCACAACATTCCTAAACCCGAGCTCACCCAACATTCCTGACCTCGAGCTCACCCAACGGTCCTGACCCCCGAGCTCACCCAACATTCCTGACCTCGAGCTCACCCAACGGTCCTGACCCCGAGCTCACCCAACATTCCTGACCTCGAGCTCACCCAACGTTCCTGACCCCGAGCTCACCCAATATTCCTGACCCCGAGCCCACCCAACGGTCCTGACCCCGAGCACACCCAACGGTCCTGACCTCCAGCTCACCCAACATTCCTGACCCTGAGCTCACCCAACGTTCCTGACCCCGAGCTCACCCAACGTTCCTGACCTCGAGCTCACCCAACGTTCCTGACCCCGAGCTCACCCAACATTCCTGACCCCGAGCTCACCCAACGGTCCTGACCCCGAGCTCACCCAACATTCCTGACCCCGAGCTCACCCAACATTCCTGACCTCGAGCTCACCCAACGTTCCTGACCCCGAGCTCACCCAACATTCCTGACCCTGAGCTCACCCAACGGTCCTGACCCCGAGCCCACACAATGGTCCAACAAAAGGCCATCACACTTCTTGGAAGCCTGTATGGCTGGTAGGGGGGGGGCAGGAACCTCACCGGGGGCGACAATCTCTAAGCTCCTCAGGGTGGTGGACTCCATGCCATCTTGTGTCAGAAGAGGTTCTGAGTGACGATGGCATTATACACCCCAATGAATGCCTAGATACCCCCAATACACGGATTATACACCCGCTATCTGCCCATTATATATCCAATGTATGCCTGAACACACAGTGCAGAGTCAGCAGAGGTCAGAGACTCGCCCGGGTTGATCCATCCTATTGGTTTTCTGAGCCCCGCCCCCCCTGTAAACGGTGGACAGGGAGGCGGGCCCTCAGCATGTACAGAAAATGTCCAGTCCGGTTGTAAAGTGTGTGTGGTGGTGGTGGGGGGCGTGTCCTCCTATTACGGCCTCCACCAATAGAGGGCGCAGTCTATGTTCAGGGCAGGAAGGTCTACGTGAGTAGAAAATACTTTATCTCATTAACATAAACGATTATAATATGTAAATATGAAATGGTTCTCCCTAATTTGTAGTGAGATCCCCAAAATTACACCCTTTTTTCTCATTAGCATATGAGAATTCTATGCAAATTTGCCAAGTTTCTCCTTAAGTTGACAGTGAACCCCAAAACGCGCCGGCAAGGGTGGTAGGCTGGGGGATGGTGGTAGGCTGTCCCAAAATGCTCCCCCTTTTCTCTTAATCGGGACTCTCCCCAAAAAAATAGGGGTTTTGGGTGGGGTAATTACTGGAAAAAATATGCAAATTGCTCCCCGACATCTATGCAGCTCAGCTATAGTCTCCCTAAGTTGAACACCAATCGGAAAATGCCAAAATGCTGCTTCAGACCAGGTGGTCCCTCCCTTCCAGGAGGTGTTTTGAGGCCTCATGGGCTCTAGACTCCTTGGATGGAGTGCGGGAGAAGTAGCACCACCCTGGGATCTCCATCAGACCCATGTCCAGTTCATTAAAGTACAGCCACCCGTTCCTACCGAAAGGCCGGAATGTTCCATCAGCACAGTTTCCGCCACCTTCTTGAAATGCAACACCCTGATGTTTTTTTGGGGTCATCAGTCTAATGGTAAGTGGCCAGAAACCTAAAACACCATTGTGAACCCAACAAAAGGGCTCATAGGGGAGTCTCATGGTCCGCCTTCCTTCTGGAGGTGAGGTGCTTCCTGGCACACCACCAATGAGGTCCTAAAGCGCTACATAGAGGTCCACTGTGAGACAGTCCCAGCCTGTAGGAATCCGGCCTTGGGGCAGCAGAGAGAGTAAATCCGGCCCTGGCCGCAATCTTTCCCT